AGCTGAATCCAAGAACTCTCTTAATTTTTGCTTTGCTTCATCGGCGAAGAAGATTTAATCTAATAGAATCCAAGACCTCATTTAATTGTTGCTTTCGCTCGTCGGTGTCGTATTCTAGTACATTCAATTCTAGAGTAACAACGGTCTCTTTTGGTTTTCGCACTGCTTCAACCCGATCCATCTGCTTGCAAGAAAAAAAAATTATTATGTTCTCAATTTAACGGTAGAAAAAATATCATAAAAAAAAAAAAAAAACATACATGCAATTTTACACTAACATTTATGTTAGAAAATACCGTGGTCATTCATCTTCAAATGTTTCAAGATAACCCTTCCTCTCGGTAGAAAATCATATATGTACTCAGTTTAATTAAAATTTTCTATTTTTCCTCTCTTCTAAACTATATTTTTTTATCTTTTTCATATTTTCTGTTTTTTTCCTTTCTTCTAAGCTATATTCTTAAAGGCAAAGGAAAAGTTAGGATATCCTGGCATTTTAATCTAATAATAGCCACATGATGAATTTGATAAAATTAGGATTCACACTATACCCCACACATTTAATGATTGTGATTAGACGCCTTGACAATTTTAATGTAGGACGTCTTGATTTTCACTTTTCTCTATCCTTAATCTCTTTTTACTATTCACACGCAACTTTCATAGCCTAAACTTATCTGCAAAGAACCTGAAATCCCAAAGCCAGCCACCATACCACTAATCTGTCCCGCATCATTTTCTCTCTTTTTGTGTAATTAGTTTAATTTCAGATATTTGTATTTCTTCCTTTGTGACCAGTTTGTTCAGGATATGGAAGAATGGATTTAGAGTTCAGATTCCTTAGGGAGCCCAGCTCAGGTATCTTCTTTTGGTTTTATTGCTAGAATATATGTTAAAATACTTTGTTATTTTTAGCATAGCTATTGTGGATTGCTGTAGTTAGCTTATTGAAGTTGGATTTTGTGATGATGGTCCTGGATTCTTTACTTTATCTTGTTAATTTTTTAATGAGGTTCAGCTATTTCGAATCATGAGGTGTCCTGTTCGAATTTTCTCTATTTTGTTCCTCATTTTAGTTTATTCCTATTTTGAACTTTGAATGAATGGGATGTCACTTTATAGAGTAATTGTTTCTTTATTAATAATTCTGCTTATAACTTAGCTGTCATGGTCATATCAGGTATGAAATTTGATAAGAGGGCAAGTTTTAGTTGGTTAGGTTTAGTATTATGCTTATTGTAGTTTAAGAAAAGAAAACTTGAAGATGGGAGTCCTTGTTCATTCACCTACTTACGTAATTCAATTGTTTATCCTTTATTTTGAAATCTGAAATGAATTAGTGGTAATATTCAAGAAGTTTGATCTTCAAAATTAAAGAAAAAAAATTTAAGTGTTAGATCTACTTTAGTGTTCATCTAATGTGCTTGAAGCTTATTAGATTTTTAGTGGTTAGATGCATGTTCTGTTCTTTTCTAGTTTAGTCTCACGATGTTGGCTGTTGCAATTGGTTTTTTTGTTGCCCCCGTGATTGTTTCTTTATTCATTGGGATGTCACTTTTATACAGTAATTGTTTCTTTGTAAAATGCATGTCTGTTTCTTTGGGTTTTTATCCCATTTTGTTCTACTTTAAATTTTTATATTTGCAATGAGCATGTTTGTGCAATTTTGGAAATGTTAATTAACCTTTAAGATGTCTGAGGGAAAAAGATTTGACAAGGGAATAGAATTCAGTCGAGAAAAGAAAGGGAAAATAGGAGATAAAGAAGGGAGGTCGAGAAGGGAAAAAATTGTTAGGTTCTCTTTGTATTTTGATGATGATTTAAAATTATGATTCAAAAGATTTTAATCTATTTTTGTGCTAAGTGTGCAGGAAAATTAATTCAAGGATTCTAATCTTTCCCCACGATTAGAATTAATTTATGTTCCTCCTTGTTCAGAGTTCTAGGTTCGAATCAATTATATTTGATTCAAACCAATCCCGAACTTCTTTTTTCCGAAAATGTTTCGAAGCAATATTTCTGACTTCAAAGCAAAAATTCTGGAAGGTTAAATTTTGACAGCTCAACTATTTGTTTATTCTTAATGGGTCATAGAGGATCTAAATGTCTTAGCACTTTCCAAGACAAATCAGAAGAAAAAGGTGGAACCTAATTGGGGCAATTGTGAGGTGGCTTTGAAAGGCTAAAAAGGCTTTAATTGCAAGGCTCCCAACCAACTATTAAAAGGACATCAAAAATTAAATCTCAAAAATGAAGAAGGATGAACTGCTCTAGCAATACAGAAAAACAGAGTTTGTTTTTGAAAGTGTTCTGGATCTCCTTCTTCTTCTCTTCTTGTGAGCTTTTGGGTTAATTGTCTTACAAGGGTTTTGTTTTCTTCTTGGATTGGGATAATCCTTGAAGGGGTTGAGTGAGTTGAGATTCACTTGTGAGAGTTTAATCTTGCACCCGCAAGCAAGAGATTTCTAGTGGATTGAATTCTCGAGCAAGGAAGCTTGGGGAGTGGACGTACTCCGCGTTGGAGGAACCACTATAAATCACGCCTTGATATTCTCTTCCCTCTCTTTTATTTTTCTGCACTATATTACTCTTGTTCATTCTGCACAACAGCTTATATATATTGAAAACTTCATTCACGTTTTTATAAAAGAAATGAAATTAGTTTTATATCTTAGGAATTGAGGGGTAGCTAGCTGGGATTACAAAAATTGGATAAGTTTAATAGATTTTTTTACTAATCTGAACCATCTGTTTCGTTTGAATATTTTTACTAATTTGATTTTGTCTCTGAGGTTTCTACTTCCTATAATTCCAATTATTTAGGAAGTGTTATTTTATACTTCCTCTGTTTAGCATAGTTGATTTCTATTGATTGTGTTATGATTAAAGAAATAATTATGATATTTGTCCTTCCAGAATTGAGAGCAAACAACGCAACAGTCCATGAACAGCCACTGTCCCGTCCCAACAACATGTGGAACCTCAACTCTCATTCTTTGTATTTGCTACACGCGCTAAAGAAACAAAAAAAGTGAAGGAAAAAATTTGCTTCTTAGAAGGAAAAAATTTTCTTTTTACTAATACAAGTTACGTAATACATTTTTCACAACTTTTGTTGATGCAAACATTTATTTTGATAACCACTAAAGTTGTTTTATATTATTTTTATCAATTATTATCATCGCTACAAAATATTAGTTTTAAATACATTAAAAATTGTTACAAGACATAACGTTTGTAATAATTTGTTGTTAAATAATATATTTAACAACAATAAATATTGACACAAAGGCGATAACATAACCACTCCATTTGAGTTATTTTGTATCACTTTTAGCATGACAAATATTGTTGCAAAATATTAGTGTTTTAGGAATGCCTAAGGTTGTTATAAGATGCAATGTTTTGCAACAACTTATGATTGCTAAATAATATATTTGACAATAACAATGATTGTTGGAAAATATTAAAATTTTTACAAGATACAACTTTTTGTAATCACTTATGGTATTGTTAGATAATGTATTTGGTAGAATCAAATATTGGCACTAAAAGATGACACCATAACCACCATTTAATTGTTGCCATTAGTTTTTACTTATAGCTCATAATGGTATGTATTTTTCTTTACTTGCAGTTTTTCAAATGTGGGTATCGGCTCATGAACCTTTAACCTATGACACATAAAACTGTAAAAATATAACCACAATCATAGCTAGTAGATAGAAATCTATAACTACGTTTTAGGGGAAAATCAATCTGATTTTATCAAGGGAAGACAATTGGTTGACGGAGTTGTTGTTGCGAATGAGGCAATTGATGGGGTGAGGAAGAGAAAATCCCAGTGTTTTGTTTTCAAAATTGATTTCCAAAAGACATATGATAAAGTGTGCTGGTCTTTTCTTGATTACATGATGGAGATAATGAGTTTTGATACAGCATGGAGGGGATGGATTTCTGAATATTTAAAATCAAATACTGTGTCGGTTTTAGTTAATGGAAGTGCTACCAAAAAGTTCTCAATGTCAAGTGGGCTCTGACAAGGTGACCAATTATCTCCATTTTTGTTCTTAATGGTGGCAGAAGCTCTAAATGGACTAACTTCAGCAGCTGTTACAAAGGGATTTCTCCGTGGAGTAAAAATAGGAGATGGGGAGCTAGAGATTAGCCATCTACAGTTCGCAGATGACACAATTTTTATCGGGGAGGCAGCTGAAAACAACATCTGGACAGTTAAATGCATCATGAGGGCTTTTGAATTGGTGTCAGGCCTGAAGGTAAATTATAGAAAAAGCTCTTTAATTGGAGTCAATACTGATGAAGAATGGACTAGAAAAATGGCGTGGATGTTGAACTGTAAAACTGATTCCTTTCCTTGCAAAAACTTGGGTATGCCACTGGGAGCAAATCCAAGGAGAATAGATACATGGAAACTGCTAATTGAAATGTTCAGAAGAAAGCTTTCAGGTTGGAAAGGAAGATTCTTATCTCTTGGCAGAAGAATCACCCTCATAAACTCTGTGTTGTCCAGCTTACCAGTGTTCCTAATGTCACTATACCTTCTCCGTAAACAGGTCATTTATGAACTTCATCAAATTAAAAGGAATTTTTTGTGGGGAGTTGAGGAAGGTAGAAAGATAGCATGGGTATCTTGGGATAGGTTTGCTGCAGAAAAAAAGGAAGCTTAGGGGTAAAAAATCTACGATGGTTTAATATGGCCTTGCTCGGCAAATGGTGGGCAAGATTAATAGGGGGTGAAAAGGGTTTGTGGTCTAGGGTGCTTTTAGAAAAATATGGTGGCAAGGGGGGAAATTGGTTATCATGGTTGAGAGAGGGCCGGGGCTTAGGATCATTTTGGTGGAATGATATTTGTAAATTGAACAAAGGATTAGGTAGTAAGGATGGGTGGTTGCTTTCAAATTTCAACTTGAAATTGGGTGACGGGAAGAATGTTAGGTTCTGGTTAGATGCATGGGTGGGTGGGGATTCACTAGCTAATGTTTTTCCAAGACTGTTTTTGTTGGCTACAGAAAAAAACTACAGCATCTATGATAGGGGACATTGGACAGATGGATGTTGGTGTTGGAGGTTTCAATGGAGAAGACCACTTAGAGCCTGGGAAGAGGAAAATCTGCAACAATTGATTGAGGCCATAAATCACAAAAAACTAGTGCAAGATGTGAAGGACACTTGGAGTTGGAGGCTAGATACTGGGGGAAAATATACCACAAGGTCAGCTTACGGGCAGCTTGCAAAGAAAGAGGATAATAAGCTGCTGGAGTACAGAAATATATGGAGTGCGAAAGTCCCATTAAAAGTGAGTGCTTTTTCATGGCAACTGCTTCTAGATAGAATTCCTACAAAGGTTAACTTGGTAAAGCATGGAATTTTAGATGCTAACCAAAGTATAAAATGTTTTTGGTGTGATCATTTTCTCAAACATTCAAAACATCTTTTTGTGTCTTGCAATATCTCATTCAAATTATGGACAAAATGTCTTAATTGGTGGGGATTATATTATGTTCTCAAGAATACATGTCTTGATGTTTTCAACTAGTGCAGATGACACAAGGGCTCGAAAATTCTGAAAATAGGCCGGAACATGTTATGGTTTACCATAGTGTGGGCATTGTGGTTGAACAGAAATGAAACTGCTTTTCAACATAAGAAGGTAGATGAGGACAAGCTATTTGAACTTGTACAAACCCGTTCATTTCATTGGGTTAGAATTTTGTTGAGCATAGAAAATTGTTCTTTCATCGAATGGATTTCGAATCCAGTGAGATGTTTGACAAATAGGAAATAGAGGTTAGATGGGGAGCAGGTTTCCAGGTTCCTTTTTTCGGATTGGGATTGCTCTGTGATTTTGTATTTTGACCCAGTTTCTATGTGTAACTTTATATATCAATATCAATGGGTTTGAGTACCCCTTTACTCATATAATAAAAATTCCTTCGCTTTTCAAAAAAATAAAAATAAAAAATCTACAACTACATTACATATACTTACACTTGAATTGGTATGGTTTTTTGCCACAAAGCTATGGTTTTTGTTTGTAGCTATATGGCAAGTTTGCTGTGTAAAAATAGAATTAGATAAAACTATTTAACCAATTTTCCACTGTTCATGTAGCAAAAATGTTTAAAAGATGGGGTCAGATACTTGAAAAAAAAAATACATACCTACCAGAATCAAATGCTGCTGCCTAAGTTAAGGGCCCTCAGTTGAGCTGTCACTAAACCGTTTGGATTGAGGTAGGAGAGTGAAGGAGAAGTCTCTCCTCTCTGTTGTTTGGATAAAGTCATTAAAGTAGGGGGATGGAGAGAGGTGTAGATGGAGGGGTGATGGACTCCATTCAAATCCCTTATTTTTAATTTTTTCAATTTGGGGGGATTAAGAAGGATTCGATTTACTTTTATTTTATTTTTTTACTTTTTTTTTTCCAAAAATGTAATTAAAATTTCTATTTTAACTTTAATTTTAATGTATAAATTTATAAAATTTTAATTAATTTTATAATTATTTTTCTATAATTCATTTAATTAAATAAAAAATATATATAATCTTTCCCTCCCTCTCTTTCCTCTTTTTTTAATATATCCAAACTTAATACTAATCTTTTACTCTCTTCTCCTTCCCCTCTTTTCACTTCCCATCTCTTTCGTTCACTTTCATTTACTAATTTTTACCCAAACATATCTAAATGGTTAATATTAAGAGAAAAAACAAAAAAATGAGATTCTAGCGTTCAGGGTACACAGAGACTTACTTGTTGCTGCTCCGGTACTTCTGACGGACCGACAGTTTCTGGTAGTCGACTGGAACTCGGTTCTTCAGTTTCTGGTAGTCGACTGGAACTTGGTTCTTCATTCTTTCCCTGAATCGTGCCACAATATTATTCAAGAGAGTTCAAAGGGAAAAGACAAAGCACTTTATGATAGTATCATTTTCAAAATTTTGAAAAAAATATA